TTACTCTGAACAATTGTAATCGAAATGTGCGTTACATCATCTACAAGTTTTTCTACCCTTACGTATTTAACAATACGAGGTTCAGCATGGATTTATGTCCGCTTTCTTGGACTCTAGGACACAAAGCTTAAAAGATCAGAGGAGCACTGTCTAGGGCGTACCCACCCATTTTAAGGTTCTCAAACCCAATCCTTCTCTCTCGCATACTTGGCCAACCTAGTTTTGAAGACAGGGAAGGTACTAGCGTGTTCCACCCGTCTACAACTTATATTTTCAAAGCATAAAATCTTGAGTTTATCCAACTCAAGATTTTATCGGTTGCACATACCCACTACTGCAACAATGGGGACTATCATATTTAATTCAGTGGTGCATATGCTTTTACAATAGTCTCTCTATACACAGGATGGATTAGGCGGACAACTAACCAGTGATGAAAAACAATTTACTCTCATCCCTCGCGCATTCATTATTGGTTTTTGAAAGATAAACAAGGCGAGATTATTACATTCGTAGGGTGGAGGGGGGGGGACATTAAACTCGAAGGGGTCATACAATGCTTGCGGGATGGGGACGCATCTACTTTCGATCTAAGGAAGAAAATCACAGGTCCACAAAACAAGGTGACAAGTACTTATTGCTCAAATGCATTTCGCCAACGAGGGTTCTGTTTTTGCAAACTGTTTCACAAATCGCTAAACCCGTGTCGGCGGTTCAGCGCAAGAACTGGTGGACACTGTCCTCCGCCCGTTATTCTCATAATAATATAAATCTTTCCTGCACGGAGGACGTGCGTTCTCGAGGGTAGTCCGTTGATTACCGATCAAAACCTCTATAAAACTTTTAAATTTGGCTAATATAAATCAAACTATATTTATGGATAATAACAAAATAAGGGGTATTTTAGGTCTGGCAGCAGTGGACAAAATGTAATACCCTAAAGGCGCTGGTATCGCCATACACTTTCTATAATAGAGGACAACGAAGTCTGAACACGGGTTGCGGGTACTGAAAGGAAAAAGGGTAGATAAGGGGTAGGGAGGGGGATTTAGTTCATAAACACGAAGTGGATATTGGTACAGGTGAAAGAGGGCTGCGGGTACCCAATTAGCGAGTCTGAAAAGTAGCATCGATCGTGAGCACTGACGTCATGGCTTTATGCAGAGCACAATAGGTCGTCTTCCCCGGCCGTGGTATGAGAAACCTGGTATTGACGAGCAGGTTGGGCGGTGAGTCGTCAATGGAAACTCTGTCAACAACACGCCATTAGCTTGAGAGAAATGACAGGTGCAGAGCAAGTTTTAATTGCCACACAGCAAAAGGTTGCCATGGTAAAACTTTGCTCCTAACCTATGACTTCTTCAACACCGTGGACAGTGAGTCTTGTAACCACGCTATTACCTACACTCCCGTGGCAATGATTTTTTTACTATTTAAAAATATATGCTATATAAATGGTTATGATAATTGTGGAACTTCATTATTATTATGATTAATATGTGAGCAAATCACCTGCAGGAGGTTTACAGGGCATTACCTGCAAGTAATTTGGGTGAGGTAAGCGGGACTTAGTCACAGTAGGTCACTAAGTGCAACTCCTTCGACTGCCCACTTCTTCACCACTCACAAAAACCTAGACCTGACATTAAGTTAATAATTACAGTATTAAAACCAGCTACTCTGGCACATTGAAATTTAGTGGACTGTATAGGATTAGGCTTGTTGGGGACAACAAATAAAATTGGTATTAACACTTATTTAATTACTGGAGGACACTTAATGCTGATGGAACATACCCTAACCTAACCCCTGGCAGCTAGAATTTACAATGGCTAATGCAAAAACTACTGTACATTATGGGTAGGCATCACTTAAATGAGTGGTACTCCTAGGAGAATTATAGTCCTCTATTTTTCCTTCCTCCACACACAATTCTTGAGATCCCACAAATTTCCTGTCTCAATTCTTCAGCAGGGAACATTAACACAGGTTCCTATTACATATTCAGGCCGAAACACCCATCAGGCCTCGGAAAATGCCGAATTATTAGCAGTAGTTCCCACGACAACCAGTGTTCACACATTCAAAATGGCGTCTCCTCAGCGTCCCTACTGGCTGTTCTCCACCCCACTCCCTTGAAATTTCTTCATATTTTATTACACAATTGTATTATTCATATGTTCTACATTTAGGAAATTATGTAAAAAATTTCCACAATAACCATATTGGATTTAATGTGTGAACACTGGACTGAATTATGCAATGTAATCAGGCGTTCTCGAAGGTCATTTGCTGTATATCGGCCTCAATCCGTAATTTAGAAATTGCTGACACGTTCCTGCTAAAGAATTGGGATAAATACAATTCGGCAAACAGGACGGAAAAAATAGAGGACTTCAATGAATCCTTCCCACAACACACCTTAGCTAAGTGATGCTTACTCATAAAGTACAGTAGTTTTTGGATTGGCCATTGTAAATCCTAGGTGTTAGGGTAATGTTAGGGTGTGTTCCATCAGCATTGTCTTCCGGTAATTAAATGGTAAGTGTTAATACCAATTTCTTTTGTGTACCCAGGAAGCCTATTATACAGTCCACATTATTTTATAATTTACCATTATTGGTATTAATGTTTAACATTGTAATTATTAATTTAATGTCAGGTCTAGCTTTTTGTGAGAGTTGTAAGGAGTGGGCATCAAGGGAGTGACAGTTTGGTGACCTATTGTAACTAAGTCCCACTTACTTCACCCAAATTACTTGCAGGTAATAATTCAGGTAATACCTTGTAAATCTCATGCAGGTAATTTACTCACATAATTCACATTGGGTTTATCTATCCTATACGACTAAAATTACGATTAAGCCGCTACTGAAAGGGTGCGTGCTTACTACCCGAAACTAAAGCTCTCGCTAATTGTAGCAGATCAAGACAACCAGGATTTTGCTAAGAGTAACAGGTCACTAATCAAGCACTTGGAAAAAAAAAACTAAGTGTACCAACTCAGGACATCAAAGATTATTCTTGCTATGGAGGGATACAAGATCATGACATCGAAAATCTCACTAAATCACTACACACAAGATCAGGCTACCTGTAGCAGCTTACTGGTTCAAAACAATGTCGAGGTAATTGAAGCAACTATTTTGAACTAGGATTATGCATATATATATATATATAATATATATATATATATATATATATATATATATATATATATATATATATATATATATATATATATATATAATATAATATATATATATATATATATATTATGCAAAACAACCACTCTGAAAGAATAGAGAAATTTCAAGCGCTTTCGTGACTACTCACATTATCAAGGAACTATGAAAGTAAAGCATCCAAGGAAGCTATATAAGGTGTCTGGCCAGCACCTCACTTATATAGCTTCCTCGGATGCTTTACTTTCATAGTTCCTTGATAATGTGAGTAGTCACGAAAGCGCTTGGAATTCTCTATTCTTTCAGAGTGGTTGTTTTGCATATTCTGAAATCACCTGTTTACTGTGATCTTATTGCATATAATATATATATATATATATATATAATATATATATATATATATATATATATATATATAATATATATATATATAATATATATTATATATATATTATAATATATATAATATTATATATTATATATATTTATAATATATATATATTATATATTTATGTATATATATTATATTTATATATATAAATATATATTATTATTATATTTATATATTAATATATTATATATATATATTATTTATATATAAAATATATGTTTATATATATATAATATATATATATATTTATATATATATATATATAATATATATATATATATATATATATATATATATATATATATATATATATATATATAAGTTACATTCTTCATTAAATATACTTGGGTCATTCACGTTTTCTGTAAACAAAAGTAAAAAAAATGCGTTTTCTTAAGCGCAAGCTTCGTCTAAATCCTTCAAATAAAATAATGACATTATACAAATGCGCCTTAGTTACAAGAAGCAAAAAGCCAGAATCATACATTACTTCCCTTGCAGCTATTAATTAGAAACAGTATATTTTTCTTTTGCAAAAAAAAAAAAAAAAAAGAATAAAAGCCATTTTTAACGGACATAAAACATTTATGTTAGTCATATGAAAACAGGTTTAGGACTAAGCTATTAAGCTTAACGATAAAGTTCTGTTTACAAAGTTAGATTACTAATAGCCTTTTATTTAGTAGACCTGAAGACTAGGTAATAACAGATCTGAAGGCCAGGCTGACCTAAAGACCAGGCTGACCTAAAGGCCAGGCTGACCTAAAGGCCAGGCTGACCTAAAGGCCAGGCTGGCCTAAAGACCAGGCTGACCTAAAGACCAGGCTGACCTAAAGACCTGGCTGGCCTAAAGACCTGGCTGGCCTAAAGACCTGGCTGGCCTGAAGACCAGGCTGACCCAAAGACCAGGCTGACCTAAAGACCAGGCTGACCTAAAGACCAGGATGACCTAAAGACCAGGATGGCCTAAAGACCAGGCTGACCTAAAGACCAGGCTGACCTAAAGACCAGGCTGACCTAAAGGCCAGGCTGACCTAAAGACCAGGCTGACCTAAAGACCAGGCTGACCTAAAGACCAGGCTGACCTAAAGACCAGGCTGACCTAAAGACCAGGTTTACCTGAAGATCAGACAGTAAGAGAACGAGCGGCTTTTACCAACACAAAGTAGCTTGACTTAACTCTAGCTTTACTATTATTCCTTTGATTTACAGCATAGTTATTTATCACGGACGGTTAAATGTTGACAAATGTTATGAAGCGCGAGGTCGGAGGTAGCAACATGCTAAACCAACTAAAAATATATAACAATGCAGCAGTCGACCCGTTTTCTGTCATCAGATATAGATGAGAGAAAACAGGAAATGGCAAAGTTGGAAGGTAACCTGCCCACATCTCTACCTTGATGAGATGCCTCGGAACCCACCTTGGTAACTCGTTATAAGGCACACTGTAGAAGAGAGAGAGAGAACAAGAAAGTGTCGCTCAATGCTGAATATTCCTGGGAAGCACAAGATTCTAATTAAAACATTTTTAATTGCTCAAGTAATGACTCGAGAAAGAGTGGCTAGATTTAGTTTTAGAGAGTAAAGTTACTGTAGCATCGAGTTTAGTCCAATATATAATAAATAAGGTAATGTTGAAACAAAAATGACATTATATAAGATATTAATTACAGTGATTTAGAGATTAAGTTAAACAATATCAGTATAAGGTGTACCTGCAAGTTTGAATCATAAATTTGTGCACACACACACACACAATATATATATATATATATATATATATATATATATATATATATATATATATATATATATATATATATATATATTATATATATATATATATATATATATTTGTACACACAAAGCACTAGGGACCATCAACAATTCATATAAAAAATAAGTACAGTTGTTACAGAGCAATCGCTATACTCGTATGGGTCTGTGGTGTTAACTACAGTCCTAATTAACGAGCCAGTATCAGTGCACAACTAGGCCACTATTTCTAGTATTTGACATAAGCACTAATGTCCGAGTGGAGGTGAATCGTTGAACTCAGTTGTCCACTGCGTCAGTTTCTCAGTTTGACTAACAATTATAAAAATGTGAATCACGGCTTCGAATGTGTGAAAACAGCGCCAGTGGTCAAGTAGCGACAGACTGGAGAACTGAAGTTGTTAAACAAGGGCGATTGAAGCCAACGATGTGGCCATGGTTGACCTCAAGCTCCAACACGCTGCGGCCTTCCCAAAAATCTTAAAGTATATTCCTAGTTTTTTTTTTTTTTTTTTTTTTTTTTTTTTACCAGTCACTTTCGTTTCAACTCATACAAAGATGATTATCTCCTTTTAATACTGTAGCTGAGATCTAAGTATATATATTGTGATATGAAATCCTTCTGCAAAATATAAGATTAATATAATCACAACTAAGCGATAAACCCACAAGGGTCGTATAACATAAAATGTATGAGAAATGTTAAATGCGGATGAAATGAAACTTAGATCGGTACAAACTGATAAAAGTTCCCCGACTGTGCTATTTGGTTAGGAACTTCATTGTACAAAATTAGATAAAGACATAGTCGCTTCATATATCTGTGCATAAACATCTGCGTAATGTCCTTGCTAAGAAGTTTTTTTTTTTTTTTTTTTTACTAAAAATATGTAAAGACAAAACAATACAGTAAAATTCAGTTTTTTTTTTCCTGTTTGTAGATAGTGAGGACTTTCAGTGTGGCCCGGTCTAGCAGATTGCAAAATGAAGCTACTTCCAATGCGAGAGAGTTTATCGGAGAAATTATAGATTCCAAAATGGATCGAGGCGCCAGACTAATTCACTTGGTGCTGGGTCTTGAACCGCAGCTCCAAAGACACTGAATTCAATACCTTTGAAAAATTACAGGGATACTTACGTTTTCCCAGTGAGTGAAACGTCCTATAGATTAGTGTAGCTGCACAAAGCTGTGTAACCAATTTTGGTTAAAAAAAATTTTTTACGACTCTTTGAAATGTATAATAACTGAATTCAAATTAATGTACTGTAATACTTTCGTAAATGCCTTAATTTAAGATACAAACACAAGCTCCCTAACTCTTGCTTAAGTTATTTGAGCCACCGTTCCCTTCCTTTGATCAAATTCGATTACCTCCTAATCCTAAAGCGCTGTCCCACCTTTACGGGTTAAGCGCTTTCCCATGATAAATAATAATAATAATAATAATAATAATAATAATAATAATAATAATAATAATAACAATAATAATAATTGAAATCTCTCTAGTACAAGTGACGGTGATATCCTAATATGCACACGATCCGGATTTACCAATGTTTATGATATAAAAATTTTCCTAAATAGAAAAGACTATGTAAATAGAATATTAATGAGTAACAGTCGATTCCACCTTGTTGCCTGTAAAGGAAGTATATTTGCTTGTCAATTAGAAGTGAGTTGTCGCTTATATCATGTGGGGGTGTGATATGGTTCAAGAATAGGTGTATCACGTAAGCTTGTGGAAGGGTTGAAGGATTGGACCAGGATTGTGTTGGTGAGAGTGTTAAAGAATAGGTGTATTCCGAGTGTATGTGATGGAGTTTAAGGTTAAGTGTATCGCGTAGGTGTGTAATACAGTTTAAGGATAGCTCTACTGGTGACATTCACTCATTGCTGTTGTAAACATGATGAAAGCGGTGAAGATGTAGTCTGTGGAGCAGAGGAACGAGGAGAGACTACGAAGGAGGCAGCAGCATTTATGCCAAACAGCAATAAATGAGCTCACCCTTCAACTTCTTAAAGATAAACTCATCCACAAATATTGTCTGGCGAATTTAATATCAGGTTAATATCTGATTGTTGGAATATGTTAACCTGTACTAGCAAACTGTTTCTTTGAGAAGTTGCGAAGAAATTAAAGACGACACGTTGGTCTTCAGTGGCTAAATTTCTCAAAGTATTGTTTCCCTTCCCGCTACACAGGTCTGTTATCTATATACTCTTAAACATAACTGTCATTTACCTATCTAAATTTCCTCCTATCTACCAACCACACACCTGATTGCTCACATTCGACATTGCAAGAAAAATTATGTGCTCCGCTCCTGAGAGTTACAGTATTACTACATTACACACATGCCAGACACCTGACATTTACATTATTCAGAGCATTACAAACCTACCAGTTAAGTCATCTGTCCGCATGGCATACCTGCCAATAAATTTTCTTGTGGAAGATAAAAGAAATACATGATAGTTCCTGTTATGGGATGGAGTGTTATACTTGCTGTGAAAAAGGGCGTAGTTACAGCAGCACTAAAACCCTTGACAATCTCACTTCTTACGATGCTCGACGGTCTACAAAACTACAAAAATAACGCATTAAAAACCCTGCGAGAGATGTAAAAGAAACCTCTGCTGTTTTTGTTGTCTTAGACAAGCTAAGCTAAGCCTTCCTCAGGCCAACTCCACTAAATCCCTCTGCTCCAGACCCACCCAAAATTCCTTCACTAGACCCGGCGACTCCCTCCCTCAGAAGTCCTTAACTGTTGAGTATCTGTTCATGGTTTCAAAGGGGTTATCGCCCCTTGACTGCTGACTTAACTAAGTCAGGGTAATAGTGCTATGCTAGCAGCACGCAGTCCAACGTAGGCACCACAATCCAGCTGATCAGGGAGCGTTTGAGAGGAATCCGTAAAGCTCCCTCTTGTAGACAGTTAGGGGTCTGTTGGCAAATCCCCTTATGTATAAAAGTAAGGTGTTGAAAAACCTTGGCCCTTTTGCACTTATTATGGCTTAGTGTACTTATTGCACCTCTGCTTTTCACTGGGAAAATTTTGCACCGTGTACAGTGCCTTCTGCTCGTATCTCCCCCCCCCTCCAGTGTTTTCCTGGAATAGATTAAGATTATCTTTCTCATACAAGATCCCAGCTCTCTCTTCCCCACTCTCGCCCGGACTTGCGACATCCCACTCATCAGAGGGAAGAAAAAAATACAAAACCTTTTTGCCTCACTAAGAGCGCTTGCTGTTTACACAAAGAGCTGGAGAACCACTCTGTGTTCCTTGAATGCATGAGTCTTTAGCGTTGCTTCCAGACAAAGAGGAACTGGGGAATGGGATGGTGGTTGTGGTAATGGCGGTGGTGGTTTTAGCAGGGAGGGGGGTTACGGTGGTGGTAGTGGGGAAGTGCTAACAGTAGTGGTGGTGGTAGTAGTTTAGTGATGTGGTAATACTGTAATGGTAGTGATATGGTAGTACTGTAATGGTGATGTGGTAATATTGTAATGGTAATGATGTGGCGGTGCTAGTTTGGCGGTAGTGAAAGTTGGTGGTGGCGATGAAACTGTTGGTAGTGGCTGAGGAAAAAAAAAAAGAAGCACGAGGTATTTTTTCAAACGGGACTCAGCGACAACGTTTTCTCTGGAGCCGCGAAGTGAGAGACAAAACACCACCACATTTCCCCAAGAAGGACCTTCACAAGATGTTGTAAGGGCGCTTTACAAAGTTCACGGAGTAGTAGCATCGAAGTTATCCAACAGCTCCCTCGTGTCTCCGCAGACGCTATCGTACACGCACATATCCGCAACACACACACACACACACACACACACACACACACACACACACACACACACACACACATTCAGGACCCTGTACACCGTGTACGTTAGGCCCATATTGGAGTATGCGGCACCAGTTTGGAACCCACACCTAGCCAAGCACGTGAAGAAACTAGAGAAAGTGCAAAGGTTTGCAACAAGACTAGTCCCAGAGCTAAGAGGTATGTCCTACGAGGAGAGGTTAAGGGAAATCAACCTGACGACACTGGAGGACAGGAGAGATAGGGGGGGACATGATAACGACATACAAAATACTGAGAGGAATTGACAAGGTGGACAAAGACAGGATGTTCCAGAGATTGGACACAGTAACAAGGGGACACAGTTGGAAGCTGAAGACACAGATGAATCACAGGGATGTTAGGAAGTATTTCTTCAGCCACAGAGTAGTCAGTAAGTGGAATAGTTTGGGAAGCGATGTAGTGGAGGCAGGATCCATACATAGCTTTAAGCAGAGGTATGATAAAGCTCACGGCTCAGGGAGAGTGACCTAGTAGCGATCAGTGAAGAGGCGGGGCCAGGAGCTCGGACTCGACCCCCGCAACCTCAACTAGGTGAGTACAACTAGGTGAGTACACTAACACACACACACACACACAACACACCACACACACACACACACACACACACACACACACACACACACACACACGACTTTGATAAGTAGTGGCAAAAGAGGAAAAGAGGAAAAAAAAAAGGCAAAACGGAGACTGAACACATTTCAAAGATGTGTCAGCATCCCAGCAGATATTCCTCCAGAGATGTACAAAACACAGTGTAACCTCCGCGGCATATACTAGAACAACATTCAGGACGTAAACAATCCTCCGCAATACTAAACACCAAACAGATAAAATTAATTCATGTGGAGCCCTCGTCTAAACAGGTTCAGAACTTAAAAAGGCTCAAAAGCTTACAATAAAACTTAATCCCAGAATTGAGACGAATACCTTGTAAGGAGAGACTAAAGGAACTTTAACCGAGAACTGTGAGGAGAGTCAGAACACAATCACGACGTGCAAAATTCTAAAGAATAATTTACTGGGTAGAATGAAACTGTCAGAAAAAGATACAGACATTGAGATACACAAGCTAAAGCTTCAAATGAACTATAGCGACGTTAGTTAGTATTTATTTAGTATCAGGGTGGCAGAGAAATAAAAAAAAACTCGTAAAGGATGCAGTGATAAGGGGCCAACTCCACAAACACTCTCACGAACAAGGGAGATGTATCCAGACGAGTAGATTTTCACTATGTTCATCTCATCCTTATTGTGTTGGGGCCTGACCGCCCTCTCTCTCTCTCTCTCTCTCCCCCCCTCCTCTCTCTCTCTCTCTCTCTCTCTCAGAAGCCACTAACAAATACTGCAGCTGTCTCATTAGAACAAGACAAACGCCACAACTCTACGCACAAGAGAAGCACAGACATTCTTCGGGGAGCTCTTCACTCACCTGAAAGGAGAGGAGATACTATGTAAGTCTTGACATAAGAAAAAGGTACAAACTTTCTCTGTTTTAACAGAGATCGGCACAACTTTTCTAAGTTTTAACAGAAAAGATCTACACAATCTTTCTGTGTTTAAGAGAAGTGACCTGCATAAACCTATGTTTTAACAGAGACAGGCTCAGTTTTTCTGTTTTGACAAAAGATAAGATATAAGCACAAAACTTTACTGTGTTTGGAAGGCTGAGAGATAGTCACTTTTACAAGGAGACAGTAAAACTTTCACTCTTAGACAAAGTTTCACTCTTAACAGATACATATTTTAACGTCTTAGGAGGAGAGGCAAACATTTCCAGTACTAGAATTGAGAGAGAGAGGGAACGAACTTTTCCTTTATCTCTAAGAGAAAAAATAATAAGTCCAGCCTCTCAAGAGAAAGAAAAACTTTCTTAAACGTTTCCCGGTGGAAATAACGCCAGTTTAAACTTGCCTATGAGATGAAAAAAATAAAGTCAACCTAAAGACGACAGAAGAGTCTTTTTTCAAACTTTTGCTCATGTCAGAGAGACTTTCATTTTCATATCAGCTGCCTTCAGAGTTAATCAAAGCATACAAACTTATCCCTCCTTCAGATGAGATATGACTAGGTAACTTTCGCTGCCGTTCCTGGCAATATAAATATAGAAACTTCGGCTACATTCAGATGGGGGAAACTGAAAAGAAATTTCCAGTGTCTGCGGGGGGTGAGAGACGAGCTCAGACCTTGTTTGTTTTTAGGACAGACAGGCGTAAGTACTTAAATCTCTGGAAGAATAAAATAATCCCGATTCTTATAAACTCCTGTTAAGGTCATTGTTCCCCAGTGTATAGTTGAAAGACCCACCATCCACACACGCGCCATCCATACACATGCCATCCACACACGCGCCATCCACACACACGTCATCCACACACACACGCGCCACCCCCCACCCCACCCCCACAAACACACATTTTAAATCAGGTTTGATCAGAAAATGGTAAGAGCATCTTCAACTCCTTGGGTCAAGAGTTCTTCACCAGCATCAAGTCGCCTCATCTGAATAGAGAACAGACGAACAACAGCCACCACCTCGTTCCACCAGCATCGTCAGAAACTAATCATCCAAGCCCAGGTAATTGGCGATAATTGCCTATGACTAAAGTGATAATCGACCAGTGCGATTACGAGAGTGACTTTGGTAGCAAACATAAAATTATATGTTCACAACCGTTGCGTTTGGGTTGAAATATTAGACCTTATTTCAAGTATTAAGCGTAGGTAATACTTTCCTTTCCTGGAGGGTGTTTCAGGGGTCAACGCCCCCGAGGCCCGGTCCATGAGCAGAAATAAAACCACAACAGTTATTCAACTTAATAGCTACACAAACAGTGCTTAAACCAAGCACACATTGTTGGAACACACAACACCAGCACATTAACAATGCTAGAATCATCCATACATTAACTGCATTAAGAACTCGCCCATATCAAAATACCACAAATCTTCTCTCTCGTGTAAAAAAAAAAATTGAAAATAGATTGAGCTTTGCTTGAGCTCATTCACTGACCACTCGTTCTAAGCGAGAGCCTGGATGATCCCTCAGAAGATGCTGGAGGGAGGAACATCAAACACTCAGACGGTGGCGAGATGAGAGCAAGGTACATGGGCAGGGTAATCAAACTTGACCCGAAAAAATTCTACTTGGAGGACTCTCCTCTCTTCACAACTTAAGATGAGAGCTCGTTTTACCCTCACTTCCGGGCTTCAGAATCTCCCCGCTGCTCTCCTGTGGCACTTCTAAATGCCTGAAACTGGCTTGTGTGCCATAATCTCTCAGGGTATGCGATGAGTCCTGGTAAGAGGAAGACTCCCACGGCCTCTGAAGACTTTAGTCAGCCATGTTGGTTCCTCCTCCATACGCAATCCATTATTTAAATGGCTTTGAATTTAGGCAAGGCATGTTTCAGAGTGTTTGTGAGATGAGATGCGATCTCTAAAACCTATGCTGGCAGATCGAAAGAATGGAAAGAAATTTTTAAGTGGAAGTAAAATATTAAAACTGAACAATAAGAAGAGACGATATTAGTGCCTGAGAGACACAGCCCGAACTCTGACGGAGGATAACTTGACTGGTAACTTGACCTAGGAGTTCCCAAGTTTCAGCCATCCAATACTGCTTCATTACGCATCACACTCACACACACACACACACACACACCAGGGCCAGGAGCCGAGTCTCGACCCCTGCAACCACAATTAGGTGAGTACACACACGTGATCTAGCACTTTTTTTAATCATACAATCTATCAGTGGTGCATCACAGCTCTATCACATACACTCTTAGTTTTCCAACTTTTATATAATACACAATCAGTGATTCAGCACACTGTACCGAATCTTCATCCATTTCATATCTAACCCTCTTTGTCCTCCATTTCTACATTACCGTACAGGTATTTCAAGGGTTAGTATCAAGAGGCTGTCTGGTCAGATGCTCTCGACACACAGTGTCTTCACTATATTTAAACAATGTAGCAAAGATCAAATTGGCTTAACAAAATAAATTCTGTAATCTCTCTATACTCTACAAATAAATACCGTCTTGATCCGAACTAATCCGACAGGCGAATAAGCCTTCCTGAGTCCTCGTACACGGCGAGTGAATATCCACTATGACCCTGAATGACTCAATCCAGTGGATGGCTATTTAACCCTGATCCCTCAACACGTTTGAACAATCAGCATCCATCTTGGTCCCACATGACGTGTCGGCAAATATACCTCATGACAATCCGCGACACAACAAGGGAATACTTATTTGACTCTGCACAATCTACCTTAGAAAGACACGTAAGCAAACACTATAACATATTTATTAGAAAACGTTTCGGTCCTGGGACCTTGATCACTTCTAACATACAGAGGACCTGCCTCGCATGGGCCAGTAGGCCTTCTACAGTGTTCCTCCATTCTTATGTTCTTATGACATTCCTCAGGTCACGTGCGTCACATCTCACTCTCCGCCTATATATATAATGTCTTTCTACCTCTGTATGTTAGAAGTGATCAAGGTCCCAGGACCGAAACGTTTTCTAATAAATATGTTATAGTGTTTGCTTACGTGTCTTTCTAAACCAACTTGTCGGTATTTATTACCAAGGTTTATACCACCTTAATGATTATTCCCGGTTTCGAATTTAAATTCGTCTGACCATGCCAACATATTTCCCAATAAATTCACACGACCCGACCAACACGTATATTCATGACTTTCTTTAATGCCATGAATTAGTCCCATGACTTCACACTATATTCCTCTGATTCCGTTTGATTTAATCATCATACACTTCCCTTCATCTGTTCTAACTTATAAGGATATTTATTTATTGCCCAGACCTAAACAAAAGGGCAGTGGGTTATTACCTTACACGAAATAACTAAAGTGTGTGTCCTGGAACACTGTCTGACCTAACCATAATATTTTACACATTAATAAGATGTATACTTGTCTGATAATATCAGTTTCACCAAGTTAATGTGTCCGGCATGGACACATAATATACTGGAAAGATGAAAATGAAATCTTGCCTGTCCAAAATGAATGTCTGATGATCAAACCATTGTAACTGTGTTTAATTTTTGTTCTCTGAAACAGGGTAATTACCTAAAAATCCCTTCTGACCTAACCAACATAACTCCTTTACTATGAATCGTCAGCCCTGACCTGCCCTTATAGTCGGTGATCTGCTGACCCTCCGGACCTGTCCACATGACCCTCTGGACGTTGGTGGCACTACTGGAGCAGGACACGAAGAAGCTGTCACCTTGGAACACAGACTGCTCTCCTCCAGACGGTGTGATGAACAGACTCTGCGCTCCTGCAAAGAAATCAAGAACAAAGCTCAGCTAAGGTTTCAGTTTATGCATTTTCCTGTTACCTTATATAATGGATTTTATTATTACGCTCTTCGGAAAGCACTAAACCAGTAAGAACCAAAGCCTTTTAGGGGGTAAGTAATTCGGGTTGAACCAAGAAATGGGATTTGCATGTAATATTTTCTCTTTAATTACTTTGCAGTTTAATTTTTATCTGTTCACGTAAAAAAAGTTTTTTTTTTAAGATTTGTTTGAGAATGGATTATATTACTTCCTAGCAAAATAGATATTTTCGCCCAAAGCATAAACTAGACAGTAAAGACAGAATACTTATATATAATCTTCCTCCAGCAACACAATATTTACAAGATGTATGGTTAATCATTGGCGATACATATTGTTTATTCAAAAATACACCAAACAGTTTTTATTGTAGTAAACCCACAAAATGGCGGAAAGTTGCTTTCCTAGGTTATTTGAACACAGTCTTTGTCAGTGGATTTTTTTTTTAAGAAGCAGGTCCCCGTGTGTCGTTGACTAATGGCAGCTTCCTAAATATTACCCAGAAGACCCTGTGTCTTTTTTGTATGCAAGGGTTAAACTTTTAACTCAGAAATGACTAAGGCTAGTATTAGCAATAGTAGTAATAATATCAACAGTAGTAGTGGTCGTAGTAGTAGCAGTAGCAGCAGCAGCAGCAGCAGCAGCAGCAGCAGCAGCAGCAGCAGTAGCAGCAGTAGCAGCAGTAGCAGCAGTAGCAGCAGCAGCAGCAACCTCTCACGTAGGTCACGACACTCAATTAAAAATAATATATACAACACAATAACAAAGATAAAATCAACAGACTATAAAATCAGCAAGCACTAAACACAGGTGATCAAGCTTTAATAACTATCGCCTCCGAACAACACCTATTAACTTATTAATGTCAAAAGACTCTCCTACAAGTTGCCCGAGGTAAGGTAGTGCTGGCACTGCCGCTGACCTGTAATTGAGGATTGAGTGTATTTAGCTGCAGTGATCGGGCATTAAGTTGGGGCAAAGAGCTGTCAGGGATCAATAGTCGAGAAGATTTAGGGAGTGAGGCGTAGGAGGTTTCTTGAGGGGGAGAGGTGGTGTCTTGAGCAGGAGGGGTGGTTTCTTGAGGGGTAGGGGTGGTTTCTTGAGGGGAGGGGTGGTGTCTTGAGGGGGAAGGGTAGTTTCTTGAGGGGAGGGGTGGTTTCTTGAGGGGGAGGGAGGAAAAGGTGGTGGTTCATTGACAATGATTGAAGCATTTGATTCAAAGATCCAGAACTAACCTTCCATTCGCCAAAGCGGATTATCTGGCATTTCTCAAAGGTTATTTCACTTTTACTGGTCTAGTGATGCTCCATGAATTTAATAATAATAATAGAAATAGTTACTATGGAAAGTAAATAAAATGAAAATATATTCTGATATGAATCTTTATTTTCAGAAGTATCACTCTCTTCGTCTTTCATCACAACTTAGCAGCGTCAGGAGGCATCAAACATCAGGAGGCATCAAGCATCAGGAGGCATCAAGCATCAGGAGGCATCAAACATCAGGAGGCATCAAGCGTCAGGAGGCATCAAGCGTCAGGAGGCATCAAGCATCAGGAGGCATCAAGCATCAGGAGGCATCAAGCATCAGGAGGCATCAAGCGTCAGGAGGCATCAAGCGTCAGGAGGCATCAAGCATCAGGAGGCATCAAGCATCAGGAGGCATCAAGCATCATGAGGCATCAAGCGTCAGGAGGCATCAAGCGTCAGGAGGCATCAAGCATCAGGAGGCATCAAGCATCAGGAGGCATCAAGCATCAGGAGGCATCAAGCGTCAGGAGGCATCAAGCATCAGGAGGCATCAAGCATCATGAGGCATCAAGCGTCAGGAGGCATCAAGCAATAATCAGGAGGCATCAAGCTCAGGAGGCATCAAGCGTCAGGAGGCATCAAGCTCAGAGGCATCAAGCATCAGGAGGCATCAAGCATCAGGAGGCATCAAGCATCAGGAGGCATCAAGCATCAGGAGGCATCAAGCATCAGGAGGCATCAAGCATCAGGAGGCATCAAGCAACAGGAGGCATCAAGCGTCAGGAGGCATCAAGCATTAGGAGGCATCAAGCGTCAGGAGGCATCAAGTCGCATCAGGAGGCATCAAGCTTAGGAGCATCAAGCGTCAGGAGGCATCATCAGGAGGCATCAAGCATCAGGAGGCATCAAACATTAGGAGTCATCAAGCGTCAGGAGGCATCAAGCATTAGGAGGCATCAAGCAACAGGAGGCATCAAGCATCAGGAGGCATCAAGCAACAGGAGGCATCAAGCATCAGGAGGCATCAAGCAACAGGAGGCATCAAGCGTCAGGAGGCATCAAGCATCAGGAGGCATCAAGCATCAGGAGGCATCAAGCAACAGGAGGCATCAAGCGTCAGGAGGCATCAAGCATCAGGAGGCATCAAGCATCAGGAGGCATCAAGCATCAGGAGGCATCAAGCGTCAGGAGGCATCAAGCATCAGGAGGCATCAAGCATCAGGAGGCATCAAGCATCAGGAGGCATCAAGCATTAGGAGTCATCAAGCGTCAGGAGGCATCATCAGGAGGCATCAAGCATCAGGAGGCATCAAGCATTAGGAGTCATCAAGCGTCAGGAGGCATCAAGCATTAGGAGTCATCAAGCGTCAGGAGGCATCATCAGGAGGCATCAAGCATCAGGAGGCATCAAGCATCAGGAGTATCAACATCGAGGCATCAAGCATTAGGAGCATCAAGCGTAGGAGGCCATCAAGCATCAGCATCAGGAGGCATCAAGCATCAGGAAGCATCAAGCGTCAGGAGGCATCAAGCATCAGGAGGCATCAAGCATCAGGAGGCATCAAGCATCAGGAGGCATCAAGCATCAGGAGGCATCAAGCGTCAGGAGGCATCAAGCATCAGAAGGCATCAAGCATCAGGAGGCATCAATGCCAGGAGGCATCAAGCAGTCAGAGGCATCAAAGCGTCAGGAGGCATCAAGCGTCAGGAGGCATCAAGTGTCAGCAGGCATCAAGCGTCAGGAGGCATCAAGCATCAGAAGGCATCAAGCATCAGGAGGCATCAAGCATCAGGAGGCATCATCAGGAGGCATAAAGCATCAGGAGGCATCAATCATCAGGAGGCATCATCAGGAGGCATCAAGCATCAGGAGGCATCAAGCGTCAGGAGGCGTCAGGAGGCATCAAGCGTCAGGAGGCATCAAGCGTCAGGAGGCATCAAGCGTCAGGAGGCATCAAGCGTCAGGAGGCATCAAGCGTCAGGAGGCATCAAGCGTCAGGAGGCATCAAGCATCAGGAGGCATCAAGCGTCAGGAGGCATCAAGCGTCAGGAGGCATCAAGCATCAGGAGGCATCAAGCATCAGGAGGCATCAAGCATAGAGGCATCAAGCTCAGGAGGCATCAAGCTCAGGAGGCATCAAGCATCAGGAGGCATCAAGGTCCCGGAGGCATAAGTCGAGTAGGGCATCAAGCGTCAGGAGGCATCAAGACGTCAGCAAGGCATCAAGTCAGAGGCTCAATCATAAGGCCAAGCATCAGGAGGCTCAAATCAAGTATCAACATCAGGAATCAAGGCAAGTCAGATGGCATCAAAATCGGAGCATCATCAGGGCATAAAGCATAACATCAATATCAGGAACATATATAGAGGCATTCAAGCATAGAATCAGCGTCGAGGCATCAACGTCGATATGAGATCAAATTCAAATCAAGCGTGTCAAAGGCATTCAAGTCTCAGGAGCATCAAGATCGACTCAAGCATCGTAGCTAAGCTCAAGGGTCAGATGCATTCAAGCGTCATCGGAGCATAAGCTCAGGTAGGCATAAAGCATCAGATCTCATGATATGGGGATCAGCGATAGGAGTCATTTAAGTCAGAGTCATCACGTCAGGGCATCAACGTAAGGGGATCACTCAGGAGCATCAAGCATCAGGAGGCATCTCCGCTCGGCTCAAGTCCGAGGCATCAAGGCCACAGGCATCAAGCTCAGGACGGATCAAGTTATCAGATATCAAGCATCAGGAGCATCATCAGGAGGTTAAAGCATCAGGACATGCAATCACAGAGAATCTTACAGGACGCTTGCATCAAGCATCATGGGCAGATCTAAGGCTCAACTTCAGTTTACATCAGCTCAGGTGGTCATGCAACATGGAGCATCAGAGCGTCAGGAGGCATCATGGTCAGGAGGCATCAACAAAGGAGGCTCAAGCTAGAGGCATCAACATCATGACATCAGCGTCAAACATCAAGTCAGTCGTGAGCATCAAGCCTCAGAGGCACACAGCCAGTTAGATCAATGTTCAGCTAGGCTCTAACTATAGGAGGCATAAGCGTCAGAGCATCAAGCGTCAGTGAGGATCAAGCGTCAGAGGCATCAAGCGTCATGGCTCAGTGTCAACGGGAATCAAGTCTCTAGGCATACAAGCATCAGGAGGTATGTAGGCATAGCGTCGGAGGCTCATACATGAGGCATATAACATAAGGTCGGAGACCAAGAGTCAGAGGTTCAAGGGCAGTAGCATCAAATCAGAAGGCATCAAGTTTCAGAGCATCAACGTCAAGGATCAGTCAGGAGGCATAAGCGTCGGAGAATTCAAGTCAGAGCAAGTTCATGGAGGTCATCAACAGTTCCGGACATCAGGATCGAAGATCAAGCTCAGGAAAAGGATCAAGCTCTGACAAAGCTCAGGAAGTCATTAGCATCAGAGATCAAGCTCAGGAGGCTCAAGTCAGAGGCATCAACATCAGGAGATAAGCATCAGGGAGCATCAAGCGTCAGGAGTGCACTTCAGATGCATGAAGCTCAGGAGGCCTCAGTCTCAGGAGGCATCAAGGATCAGAGCAAAGCTTCAGGAGGCATCAAGCTCATGAGCATCAAACATCATGAGCAGAGCAAACATTGAGCATCAAGCGTCAAGGCATCAAGGATCATGAGATCAAAGCATCAGAAGGCATCAGCATCAGA